TTTCTTTCTTTCATTTTTATGTATTTAGTACAGGGTCTACAGGGTCTCACTACATAGATAAGACTCGAGTGATTCTCCTGCTTTCGGCCTCCCAAGCTCTAGGTTTATAGGCATGTGCCACCACACCAATCTCACTCGCTGTCTCAGTGCGCCCCAGGGGCAGGCCTAGCCCTTTCTTAATTAAAAATTGTTTTTGAGACAAGCTTTTGCTATGTACCTCACAATGGCCTTGAATGCACTCTGTAACCCAGGCTGGCCTCAAACTCATGGTAATGCTCCTACTTTAGCCTCTCAAGTGTTGGGATTATAGGCATATGCCATGATACCCAGCTTTTTTTTGAGACAGGGTTAGAGTTGCCCAGGATGAGCTCAAACTTGCAATCTTCCTACCTCAGCCTCCTAGAGTGCTGGGAATGTAGGCCTATACCATAATGCCTTGCTGTTGTGTATTTATGACTAGATTTTTTTAAATCCTGGTGTTGCCTTACCTCTGTTCACTTTTATTAGTTGCTTTTTAAGGTCTTTTAATTTTTTTTTTTAATTTTTTTTGGCGGAACCAGGGATTGAACTCAGGCCCTTGTGCTTGCCAGGCAAGCACTTATTCTCCTGAGCTATCTCCCCAGCCCAAGTTTACTTTTTTATTTATAATTCACTCCTGGAATTTTCAACTTTTACATTCTAGTCACTTTGAACTACATAATTTCTCTGTCAAAAGGGCTCCCCTGTGGACTGTATCATCCCAGACCACTAATGTCAGTGGCACATCCTCACCCCAGATTGTAACAACCATAAATGCTCCAGACATTACCACATAACATGGCAGAGCAAGAGTGCTGCCCACTAAGAACCACTAATTGAGTATAAGTATGGTCTAGATCAGTGGTAGCAAATATGTAGCACGCATGCAGCGGCAGAATACAGAGCTCTCTCTGTCAGCATGTGAGCCAAGCTGCCCCAGCAGCTGAGCATCAGATACTCAGGTTGTTACACTTTTTATAATTTTGCAATAAATGAGTTTGTACACTCAGTCTCTAAAATGTTTACCTTCGGTGTGGTCTAAGTTACAGGATTTTGCAGTAGTATTTTCTAGAAGCAAAAATTAGGAAACTACAGAAAGTCTTAAAATCTGGATATTCTTCTCTTGTTCCTTAGATCTAGCTGCTGTGAGCCCACCAAGCCTGACAAAATGGTCCTGCTTATTTTCTGAGAAATAAGTAAACATTTATAAAAGTTATTTTTATCTAGTCACATGCCTGCAATCCAAGCACTTAGAAAGCTAAATCAGGATTGGTTTAGTTTGAGGTTAGCCTTAGTTATATAGCAAGACCCTGTCTCAAAAAAAAATTGTTTTACCAAGATTTTATACAGTGCCCAGGCAATGCTATTTGACTCAACAGACTAAATAAAAAAGTAGTGGGAATAATAGAAAATGTGTTCAGCAGAGCAGCTAGTGTAGAGAAAAAATGAAATGTATCACTTTGAAGTTGTACTTTGCTTGATATCAAGATTTATGACAGTCTCCTAATGAAAGGATAGGCTAGTTAGCTAGTTAGAAAGATTTTAAACCATGTGATACTTTTCCTAGGAACTGTATGTTTCCCAGGGCTGGTATCATTATTCCAGGCCACTGTAGGCTTAGAAAGTCTGCTCATAGTTGGCAGAAAAGAGATAGTGACATCATCATTCATAGTCTGTACCACACATACAAAAAAAAAAAAAATACTGAAAGAGTGACTATGCTTAGTTTTATATTATAATTGGTAGGATTTTGTATTGAAATGTCTTAGCTGAACATGTAGAAAAGCAATGTCTTCTACCCCCACAGAGAGAAAATAGTTTTAACAACTAGAGATGAAGGAACAATTATGTCTCCTGATAGATAAAAGCTACTTATGTACCTAAACTTTAATTTTCCTTCTTTATTATTAATTAATTCAATAAAGAAATCTTTTAATGTGTTTGTCATATGCTGGGTACGGGTGATATCCCAGGGCTCCTTTTGTAGAACTTTCATTCCACTTGAATAGCACATAGTAATTAATCAAGCAAATGATATAAATTCATCTAGTTATATGTGCTATGAAATAATACTGATGGAAGTAATATAATATGGTTTCAAAATATTACAAAAATATAAATATATTAAGATTTTTAATATAATCTCCGAAAATATAGGCAAATAAAATCAATATTACTTTGATTTTTAGAAATAGCAAAAGTTATGACAGGTTTCAAATAGAATTAAGTTTTTGTTTCTTAATTGCATTATTTGTGTTTCTTTGTAGATCAAAGTTTTGACATTCCAGACAGAACTTTTCATTCTACAAATACAACTTGGCGCCTCTCATCTTTTGAATCTATGACCGATGTGAAAGAACTTATTCCGGAGTTTTTCTATCTTCCTGAGTTTTTAGTTAACCGTGAAGGTATACTAGGAAATTATTTTCATTTTATATTTCTGAGGGTTTTCCCCCATAAGTATAGCTTTTTTAAGTCCTAATATTTGAGCTCCCAAATAATAGACATTCTTTTAAGTGTATCATTTAATTTCTTGCTGATCCTAAGGATTTTAAAATTATCACAGGAGGGGGCTGGTGAGATGGCTCAGTGGTCTAAAGCACCTATTTAGAACAAGCTTAGCAAAGCATCAGGGACCACGGTTCAATCCCCCAGCACCACATGCCAGCCAGCCCTGCCCCCTGGTGGGCTGAGCTGGCCGCGCGCACACACACACACACACACACACACACACATATAAATAAATAAAATTAAAAAATAAAATAAAATAAAATAAAATTATCACAGGACTAAATATATGTGGAAAATTTGAACTTTTAACTGTTAAAATTTCTTATAGGTGTGTATTCTATTTTTTATTAAATCATTTTTATTACAGATAATATGCTCATTTTTAAAAATGACACATGACTATATTGAAAGCAAATGTAATTTAATGAAAATCTCAGCAATTTTATGAAAAAGTCAAGAACAGAAATAAAATACTCTAATTAGAATTATCTAATAATCAAAAGGGATTTTGAAGGGTAAAATCTAACTTTCTGTGATGCCAGTGACGACTGATCTTGACAACTTTACCTTTTACTTCGCAGAACATCGTTGAAGCCTGCAAGAGCTACTTTTGGGTTATTTTCCTTAATTTCATGTTTTTATGTGACTGAAAAATATATGAAATTGAGAATTATATCTCTAGGGAAATTGGTGTTAGATGATTCACTTTAGAATTGTTTTCTAATTGGCTTTTCTGAGGCTTATTGGAGAATTAATAATAAATCCTCTCTGCTAGTTACCCTGGACATATTTCATCTTGAAAACATCTGAAAACACCTCAAACAAATGTCTTTTTTTTTTGTGGTACCAGGGATTGAACTCAGGACCCTGAGCATGCCAGGCAAGCGCTTATTCTACTGAGCTGTCTCCCCAGCCCCTAAGCAAATGTCAATACTTGCATTTTGAAGAACTTTTCTGTGGCTTTGAATGTGGAACTCATATTTAGTCCATTTCCCATTTAGAAAAAGAAAGTATTGCTCGCTGCCAGCATTCATTTAATTTTCATCAATCAAGATTATTACTGTTAGGGGCCGGGGAGATAGCTCAGTAGAATAAGTGCTTGCCTGGCAACCGAGTTCAATCCCTGGTTCTGGGAAAAAAAAAAAAAGATTATTACTGTAAAGGGCCAGGGAGATAGCTCAGTGGCATAAGCACCTGCCTGGCAAGTGCAAGGTCCTGAGTTTGATCCCTGGTACCGCAAAAAAAAGAAAAAAGAAAAAAGAAGATTATTACTGTATTTTATAAATGGAAATACCATCACTAAAAACAGAATGGTATACATAGAATGATATCTTTGTTTCCAAAGACTATCAATATATTAAAGTAATCCAAAAATAGTAATAAAAGTGAGATATTTGAGGAGTAGTTAGGACTGTAATCTGAGTTGTCTAGGAGTAAATCTGCACCTACAAACATCACTGGTGAGTATTCTTTGGGCTACCAGAAATGGATTAAATCTACTGCTTGTTTTCTTTGATAGAAGCATCTTCTATGTATGTTTCCATAACATAAGGCAACATAACAAATAACTCCAACACTTAGTATCTTAAAACAGCAGTAAATTTATCCTCTGTCCCAGTCTTTGCAGGTCAGAAAATCAGAAACAGCTCACCCTAGCAATTTTGGCACACAGAATGCTTCTGTCTGAGAGAATAGCAAGGTTCTGGAAAAGTATATAGGAAATATTATAAGCATTTTCTGAAAATATTGTACAATTTTCTATAATGTTCACCATGTTTCTTCCTATCAGCATTCTCATTTTCTCTCAGTCATCTGCTGAGTGGAGGATCTACATAAGTGATGTGCCCCAGGGCACCCAAAAGTTGGGAATTGTTGAGTCTATGGATACTCTCTCCTCCCAGTGCCCCCTTAAATTGATCAACCTGGCTGCTTCTCCTAGAGCTCCTTGGAGTTCTACAGGTGCTCAGCCAAGCTTTCTTGAGCCACTGGCAGCTGCCCTGTAGGAGAACTGCAGTGTGAATTTGATAAAGGCCTCATTTTATGTTTCACATTGTATCATTTCAAAATGCTTCCAAATCGATGAAGATTCTTTTGTGTTCACATACTCCAGTACACAACAACTTAATTTTATATAGCGCTAATCAGCTTTTAGGACATTTTTTTCAATTTTTGTTGTTATGTTGCTTGGCTTGTATGTCAATAAAATATAAAACCAAAATATTTTCTATTTAAAATTACTTCTTTTAGGACAGTTTTTTTAAAATAAATACTTTTAAGATTTTTTTTGTTCACTAGTGAACTAATCAATTAAATTATTTCCCAGAAGAACCATCTTACTTGATGTGTTGATATTATTTTGTTGGTGAAGCCATGCTTAGTATGAGTATGCCCAACCTGTCACCCAAAGGTCATGCTAACCCTGGACAACTATCAGTGACCATAAACTTCTAACATTGTTATGTGATTTTAGTGATTTGTTTTTCATGATTCAGTTGCATGGGGCTCATGTGTAGGGGAACAGTGTAGTGGAAACTATGGTCACTAGAATAAAAATTCATGCTTGTTAAGTGTTACATGCACTTGTGCGATTTGGCAAGCAAAACACAGCAATTACTGATAAAGAGTGTTTCAACCTTCCTAAACCTGTGTGTCTGTGAATCAGGTGTTTATTATTATCAAGCAGTCAATAATAAATAATATTATTTGATTATTAAAATGGACTTGTGTTGTTTTTTAAAATAGTAAGTTAAACTATATTTTTAAAAACATTGTATCATATTTTATATGCAGCCCACAACAATTCCTGTTTATATATTGTAGCTTTGTTAAATCCAAAAGATTGGATGTCCATGCCCTGGTAGAAAGGAAGTCAGATGAGACTATAGATTTACCATAAAATTAATAGACTATAACAAATCATTCTAAAGTGGTATATTTGTATTAGTTGAGTTGGTGGGGTTTTGGGGTTTTTTTTTGTTTTTGTTTTTTGGGGTTTTTTTGTATTTTAGTACAGAGTCTATGGGGTCCCACTGCACAGGTCGGACTCTTAGTGATCCTCCTGTTTTCAGCCTCCCAAGAGCTGGGATTATAGGTGTGCATCACCATGCCCAGTCTCTCAGTGTCTCAGTGTACCCTGGGGACAAAGCTAGCATGGCACACTGGGGATAGATTAGTTGAGTTTTTAAACTACAGAACACTAATATTTCCTAAATATAATTTTAAATCTATAAATCAATACCATTAATCCAGAAATGTTTCTATAAAAACTTTGATTCTAACCAAGTTTATAATTGAATGACTATTTTAGCACTTACCATAACCCTTGAAAATTTTATTAGTGAGGATATTAGAACTCAGGGTCAATAATTTTCTGCTTGTTCATGTTATAAAGTACTAAAAGAAGTTGAAGGATCTCAGCTTTAATTAGGATAGCATTTATCCACATAGCCTTATCAGTAGAGAAAAAAGTAGATGAAAAATGGTGTTTCTTATTAAGAAGGTGAGAAACCTCCTTTGTTCTCCTGGTTGCAGTACATAATCAGCTGTTCCCTAGAACTCATAAGGCCTGCTCTTTGGTGTAATGAAGCATGCATGATTTGGGGGAACTAACAGTTTGTATCCATCTTCTCCTTCAGGTTTTGATTTTGGTGTGCGACAGAATGGTGAACGGGTTAATCATGTCAATCTTCCTCCTTGGGCACGCAACGATCCTCGTCTTTTTATCCTCATCCACCGACAGGCTCTGGAGTCTGACCACGTGTCTCAGAATATCTGTCACTGGATTGATTTGGTGTTCGGGTATAAGCAAAAGGGGAAAGCTTCTGTTCAAGCCATCAATGTTTTCCATCCTGCTGTAAGTTACTTTTAAAATCTTATTTATTTATTTGGTACAGCGTCTCACTATGCAACTCAGACTTGTAGTGATCCTACTGTCTCAGCCTCTCCAGTGCTGGGATTACAGGCATGGGCCACCATGCCCAGTTTCAGGGAGTTCCAGGGCCAGCATGGCATGTGGTATCAGGGATTGAACCTAGGTCTTTGTGCTTGCCAGGCAGGTACTGAGACCAACGAGCTATCTCCCTGGCCAACTGTTGCTATTTTTATCCAGAATCCTCCTGGCTGTTTTGTTTTTCTGTGACATTGAAATTGCACAAACCTAGGGCCTTGCACATGCTAGGCAAGCACTCTACCACTGAGCCACACTCCTAGGATAGTATAATTCAGTTTTCCAGGATGGACTTGAGCTTTTGATCTGTCTGCCTCAGTCTCCTGACTCACTGGGATTATAGGCGTATGCCTCTATACCTGACTATATTTTATATATTTTAAAATACCAAAGAGTGGATATGGCCATACAGTCCTAAAACTCCGGGTTGATGGGAAACTCTTCCATTAATGGGAAGTGAATTAAGAGGATCAAAAGTTCAAGTCCAGTGTGAGCAAGTTAGCAATTTATCAAAACCTTATTTCAAAATAAAATAATTTTAAAGGGCTGTAGATGTAGCTCAGTGTGAAGGCTCTGGTTTCAATTCCCAGTACCACAAGGGAAAAAGATAAAACATTTAAAAACAAAAAACAAAACAAAACAGAAAAACCCTTAGGTACTATCTGAGGCTATTTATTTATTTATTTATTTATTTATTTATTTATTTATTTGGTACAGGGTCTCACTATGCAGGTCAGGGTTGCTAAGACCACCTCCCCATTTTAATAATTCACTAGAGGAAGGTGAGAACTCGGCAGATGTCTGTGGTTTATCCAGTGAAGAATCCAGTATAATAGGGGAAAGGCACACAGAGCACAGTCTGGGGGAACCAGGCACAGGCTTTTCAGACATTAGCCCAGGCTGCCTAGAAGGCAGTGTTTCTAAGGACAGCTATCAGCTTTTGCTGTCTTTCCTTTTTTTTTCTTTAAACTGGGACTCGAATTCAAGACTTCACACTTTCCAGGTAGGCGCTGTACCACTGAGCCATATTCCCCATCCATTAACTTTTTTTTTTTCTATATATTTAGTACAGGGTCTCACTACATAAATCAGGCTCACAGTGATTTTCCTGTTTTCAGCCTCCCAAGTGCTGGGATTACAGGCACACGCCCCACACCCAGTCTCAATCTCCGTCTCAGCATGCCCTGGGGATGGGGCCCACACAACACACTGGGGATCAAACCCTGGCCTCTGCGCTCTGCCTAAGCAGGCACTTTGGTCTGCTGAGCTGACCAGCCCCCCGTTAATGGCTCTTTTTTGCATGCTGTCCTTCATATATGTTCTTGGGCTGGGGAAATGACTTAGTAGAATAAGCATTTGCCTGGCAAGCGCAGGGGCCCAAATTCAATACCCAGTTCCGCCAAAAAAAAAAAAAAAA